CTTTTTAGTTTTTGTACTTTTCAAATGCAGACAAGTCACATTTTCAAATTTTTTTTTCTGGAACTGAGGGCTAGACACTTGTTTTAAAGTAATGCTGAGCTTTTCATGTAATCACCTGACTGAAAGCTAGGGGTTTCAGTAAAATATTGAATACTGTAAGAATTGTGAGAAAATAAAAAAGTTGGCAACACTGTTAAATTTGGCAAATTGCTGCCACTAAAATAAATGTTACCTTAACCCTCCTCCTTCACCCAAAGTTTGGGCACATGTTCTGTCCTGGAAGGGAGACGTAGTGGTGTGGGTGGAGGTGTGCTACTGTATGTACATGTGGACTCTGTGTGTAGTAGAGGTTAGTACATAAAAGTGGACTGAGTGAATTATATTGAATAATGCATTAGTAATGTTGTAATAGGTATATTTTACATGCTAGTACATAATGTTTTACTTTTATAATACCACTTACGATACTAAAATCATTAGTAATTTTCCTGGTTGCTTGTTTGCCCATTATATAGAATTAATTATTAACACACAATGTGTAACGTTAAGGATGTGACACAACCATTTAACAGCAAGAAAAATCAGTTAAAGTTGATGCTTTGTGCCTACTCTATTCAGTGGTGCCTAAATATCTCGGTGCATTTAATGCATAATGTCATTCAAATCCTGATTTGAACATACTGAATTACTAATAGGCAAAATGGAGATGTCATACTGATGAAATGTCAGTCTTAATTTGTGATTAACTTAGCTTTAGGCATTTTGAGCTGGCCAAATACTGCAAAACTTTATACATGAACATTCACATTTTAGAAGTTTGTGCTCCTTTTATGTTTTCTTTCTGCGGACATTCTAGCAGCCAAGTTCACTGGCAGGATTGTTCACCAAAATGGCTAAGTTTAAGCAATAGTGCACAATATTTGTGGAAAGTTTATCCTTAGTTCCTAAATGAAAATATTCACAGCTGATTGCTAGAGTTGCACTCATCACAGAAGGGAATGAAATTACCAAGTGTGATCTATGTGAAAAGTTTGGAATTTGTTACAAATATCTACTCGGTGATCATATTGAAATAGCCCATGAACAAATCCCTAGGTTGGAACACAAGACTAAAGCTAAATTCAATGAAAATATTGTTTGCTGTAAAAAGTTCAAATCTCTCTGGTCATAAGAATGGCCATACTGGGTCAGACTAATGGTCCATTTAGCCCAGTGTCCTGTCTCTGACAGTGTCCAATGTCAGTTGCTTCAAAGAGAATGGACAGAACAGGGCAATTTCAAGCAATCCATCCCATCGTCCAGGCCCAACTTCTGGCAGTTGGAGGTTTAGGGACACCCAGAGCATGGGGTTGTGTCCCTGACCATCTTGGCTAATAGCCATTGGTGGATCTATCTTCTTTAATTCTTTTTTTAACCCATTTATACTATTGGCCTTCACCACATCCCAAGGCAATGAGTTCCACAGGTTGACTGTGTGGTGTGTGAAGAAGTACCTGCTTTTGTTTGTTTTAAACCTGCTGCCTATTAATTTCATCGTATGACCCCCTCGTTTTTGTGTTATGTGAAGGGGTAAATAACGCTTCCTTATTCACATTCTCCACAGCGTTCATGATTTTATAGACCTCTGTTATATTCACCCCTTAGTCATCTCTTTTCTAAGATGAACAGATTCAGACTTTTTTGCGTCTCATAGTATGGAAACTGTTATATGCCCCTAATCATTTCCATTGCACTTCTCTGTACCCTTTCAAATTCTAATATCTTTTTTGAGATGTGGCACCCAGGACTGCATATACTATCAGGGTGTGGGTGTATCATGGATTTGTATAGTGGCATTATGTTATTTTCTGTTTTATTATTTATTGCTTGCCTAATGGTTCCTAACGTTCTGTTAGATTTTTTTTTTTTTTGACTGCCACTGCACACTGAGCAGATGTTTTAAGGGAACTATCCACTATGGCTCCAATATCTCTTTCTTTACTGGTAACAGCTAATTTAGGCCCCATCATTTTGTATCTATAGTTGGGATTATTTTTTCCTGTGTGCATTACTTTGCAAAGTGGTTTCAGCTTCAAGTGCACTTAAATGTGTGCTTATGTCATTTGAATTTTTTTCATAAGCTCACAGATGTGACAAGTAAATATTAATTCTGAGATTATATCAATCACAAAATGAAAGTTCAAACTTTTTTTCCTCTTTAAGTTTTGTAATAGTATTTACTTGTGACTACATTCTTGTATGCTTCAAGACAGAGTGAACTTTTTTTGAGAGGGTAACTTTGGGGATCCCCTCTTGCTTATCATCTTTATTTCTTTCCATACCACACCCGAAACCTTTACATTTGGACAAACTATCTTCCCAGCTCACTTGGAAAGAGTATTGCTCTGGACTACAAGACTGGAAAACCACATGCTCCCTTATCCTGCAGGATCACTGTAACGTGTACTGATATATGCAGTGACTCCAACCTGAGAGCCCATTGATTGGGTAGTGTTGCATACATCTGATAATAGTGTAATAGAAGTGATATCACATCATCATAATGGCCTCAACACACCTACTAATTGTTAGTGTTATTTTTCAAGTCATAACATTTTCAGGTTACTAGATCTGTAAAAGCAAATTATACAATTTGAAATTGTAATTGGAGAATATTTGATGGATCTGGTCCTAGAATAATGAACGAGAATCATTAATAGTAAGTTAATTGGGTAACATCAAAAAAGTTTATCTGGTATATTGGGATTGCATGGTTCAGTTGACTCTTAGTGTACTTTAGGGATTTTTGGTTGCACCATACCTCTGGATCTGATGGTGCATTGTGTTATGAAGAATATTAATACTGCTGCAGAACAATTACTTGTTCATTTGCTAACTGATTAAAATTCATGCATAATTTATTAGAACGGGAAGAGACTTTCTAAATAAGTCTTTGTCCTCAAGAGCTTAAAAACAAAATGCATATGCTAATGTAAGAATACACTTTACATCCAACATAAAAATTTAATATGCAATGGTATATTAGTTTCATTAATGCATAGTTTCACTTGTAATAATCATGCTGTTAATCAAAGTATATACTTCTAAACATAGCTTCATATTGTAGAGTTTCAGAACTCAGAGTTGGTGGTGTATCATCCTCAACAATGTTTATGTTGTTAGCTATAAGACTGACCTTAGAAATCATTAGTTTGCCATTTAATATGCTAGTTCCACAGGAAATGAATTGCCTTCATTAAGCTATGCTACATTGCTGAGGTTTGATTCAGATAAAGAGGCTTATGCCTAGTTTATGCCAGAAACTCGGGGGGGGGGGGGGGAGAAGAAGAGAAATTTAGATGAATAATTAGTTCAGATACCTGAGAGTCCAGATTGTCCTGAACTAAACTGTGTAGAACTTGTGCACATCACTGAATCAGGCCTAGGTCTGTCACTGAGGATGAATGAAAAGAATCCCAGCTGTTCCCGTTCTGAGATATCATGGATTCGTATGAGAGCACAATTTTCAAATTGTGTAACACGAGATGAGTGCTTTGATTGCAGGCCTTCTACGGACGCTCATGGGAAATCCCTCCCTGGCAAGATTTTGTAAATACTTGCTATTTGGGCAATCTGACCCCTTCTAAAAATGGCAAGTATGCACTTCCAGAAAAAAAATATCTAGTAGCTCCAGAGTAATGTCATCTCTGGTAGAGGTGCACAGGGACAAAGAAATCTCATCCTGAACTTCACCTCAAAGTGCTGATAGAATGTAACAAGGTGTTCTTGGAAGCAGTTGAGATCCTGTTCCAGATCATCATCATTCTGAATAAGCACATGGTGATGATATATTGACTAACGATTTTTACATAGTCACTTTTCAAAGGTAGAACCACACTTTAACTACTTCATTTTCTTAAAGGTGTTGTGTTTTCTTTTTGGGGGGGCGGGGTTGAAGGATGGTAGAGGTCTGGGGTTAGATTTCTTTTGTATGCACTTCCCACCAGATGTCTCTACCTGTTTGGAGTTGCTGTTTTGGTTCTGCAGTACTGTTGTGTGAAATCCCTGTGAGACTTGAATTTAGCATTGTTGACTAATTAACTGAAACAAATTAGCTGAAATATGTGCCATCTGGAATGAAAATGAACCTTCCATGTTTATCAGTGGATTCATTTTATTGGAAAAATACACGTTGCTTTGATTGTTTCTTAAACTAAATGACTCCTAGGCAATGTACTACTCCAGGCAAAAACTTCATAGATTTTCCCCCCTCACCTTTTCAGTCCCCTGTTGCTAACTTTCACTTTACAGCTTTGTTAAAATTATATTAAAGGGGGGTGTGGGTTGCATTGTGTACCCATTTCAGACATATGTATGCCAGGATAAGTTATTTGATTGAGGAACCATAAATAATTCCATCTGTTGTCGTTATAAATCTTTACATTGTCACCATCCAGTCAGTATTGCCCAGTTCTAAACATTCTGAATGGCTTTGATATATTTCCATATTGTTCACCCTACACTGCATTTGGCAGGTTTGAAATGGACTGCAATGATTTTTTTGGAGATGCTCTCAAGGGGGCAGTGGAACGTGACACTGAAGCTATTACTGCAGGAATTGTTCATAGCTTCTCTCAATAAAATAAAATGAGTTGGTTTTGAAATTCAAAGTCCCAATTTTTTTGTCTTATAAAATACATGAATTATCATGAAGTGATTCACAATAGTTCAAGAAATGTTACCAGATAAGGATCTTATAAACCAGCACAGTCCTGGAACAGGGGAATAAATAAATATAGCTTATTGACTTCAGTGGAGCTACACTGAATTATAACAACTGCGAATATAGCCTCCTGTTGTTAATGCTGTATTATTCTGGCTTTTCTTCCCAGTTTTGGCATCTCTACAACTGCAGGATGACACTTCTTGTTGGGCGAGGCCTTTAGCTGTACATATATTAATAATATTGTGATATTTTAAAGTTTGGTTTTATTCACTGTGTATTTTTGAATTTCTTACAGAACCACCTCGACCAATAGCACCCCCCCAATTACTTGGTGTTGGGCCTACATATTTGCTGATTCAGCTGAATGCTAATTCCATAATTGGTGATGGGCCTATAATTCTGAAAGAAGTGGAGTACCGGATGACATCTGGGACCTGGACAGAAACCCATGCTGTAAATGCACCAACTTATAAGCTATGGCACTTAGACCCAGACACTGAGTATGAGATTCGTGTCCTCCTTACCAGGCCAGGAGAAGGAGGAACTGGCCAGCCAGGACCACCGCTTATCACCAGAACCAAATGTGCAGGTGAGGTCTGTTTTTGTTGTTGTTGTTGTTGTTTTCCACTTTGTTTTTACTGTAATGATGCTGTTACTATAGCAATAGTTCTCCTTTGCTGGTACCGCCAAAGGTCTGAAAGTTTTTATGCCAGCCTGGCCCCCATATTCTGTTTGTGCCACCTTATTGGGGTCAACTTACTTAAGCTTCCATTTATTGATCACAGAAGCTAGGAAGCTGTGACAAATGTCTGAAATGCATATAGTTAAATCAAATGAGGATCTAAAGGAGGTATGTTAAGGAACTCAGGAAAGGAAAGCCTCTCCAGTACCCAACTTCAGTGGAGTTAAAACAACAATGGCTGAGCCATCAATTGGTGAGAGAATTTACCTAGCTGGCTTCATGGAGACCTAGGGTGCTTTAGTCTCCCAAGGCTAAGCTTGCGATCAAAAGATCCCGACCAGTTAAAAGGATGCCCTGGCAGAAAGGGAGTGAGCTGAGAGAGGCTGGCTAGGCTGTGTCAGGGAAAAGGCTGACAAGTCTGGCTGAGACAAGTGTAAACAAAAAAGCTGGCAAACATGCTATTCAAAATTACTTCCAAATGTAGTAAGAAAAGACAGTCACATTGCTTAATTCTAAGTTGTCTGTATTTATATAGTGGTGAGAGCAGTGTTAGAATGAAATCTCCATTCACAAATTAGGCATGGATTCCAACTGGACAGGGTATTCTAATGCTTGTCTTAGTATGTGTGATCATTCTGTTCAGTTACTATGGAAAAGGGTCAGCGCCAGAGTTAGGCACTAATGTCATAAGTGTCCTCAACTTGACCAGGTCAGTGAGTTTATATTCCAGAAAATTAGACCATCTGTATTGATGCGGTTTTATTTTGAAACTAAACATTGCTTTTCTTGGGAGCTGAAGCATTCTGCTTATTTAATTCCCTAAACAAACAAGCTCTCAGCCTAAAGCAATTCTGAAACTGCAGGCAATTTTGAAATAGGCGATCTTATTTCTAATTTACCATACAGTGTATACCTCTCTTGAAAAGTGAAAGGACTCATGTGTCTATCTCAGGTCAGATAACCACTACTGAAATCTAGTCTAGATTAAAGTGTCAGTTCAATTCTCTTAAATAATTTTAGACCTTGCTCCAAAAATATAGTATAAAAATTTGAAGCAGCTTCTTTATTAATGCGACACAACCTAGAATTTCTTCCCAGACATCAGTTGGGTATACTTTCTTGTTCCTAATATGTGAAAGACTAAGGCTGCCTAATATGAAAAAGATAAGAGGAGAGGTCATGGTATATTAAAGGCCTGACATCCATTTAGCTAGCCAATTTAAGGGAAGCAAAGTGGTGTAATTTTTAAAGCATGAAAATATACACATTTATAAAAAATAAAATATATATTCTTGATGAGTTTGTTGGAATGACTAGATCAAAATAATACTTAAAAGTGATAAACATTTGTTCAAGTAATTGATTTGAATATTAAAACATCAAAACAACAAGTAATATAGCTTGCAGTGCTTTTGATACCACGATAGCACAGGAACCTATTTTTTAATGAAAGATGGCAACTGTAGGCCGTGGGAGGTTGAGTTACCTTCCCCAAGTAATATAGTGAGTCATTGACAGGATCCAGATTAGAATATGATTTCCAGGTCTGCTCCATTCATCCATCTCCCATAATAGTGAAGACAGGTATTTCTCTTCCAGGAAGGCTTCCTTTGGGCTTTTGCAACTATGTTGTAGTTTTAAAACTTGCAAAATCAGTATAAAAATCTATCTGAAGTGTGTGTATGTGTGTCTGTCTGTTAGAAAGGAAACACAATATCAGCCTCTTCAAAAAAAGTTTTAAAAACCAAGAATAAAGCCAATAATGAAATAGCTAGCAGTGTGATAAATCCTTTGCTAGTCATGTTAGCTTGGTGACTATCAGGTGGCTTACTATGCTGTATTGTATTCCACTAGCTGCTGTACCTTGTTTTGGAAAATTCTAGTTTTTGTTTCAGACAAGACTGCTTATTTTTAAGACAGCTATCCTTACTGCCCTTTTGTTAGTTCTGTCTTTCTGTATGTTTTGTAAGCTTTAGGTTCAATTTTGAAACAAGTTATAATTGATTACCCATGTAATATCATTTATTTCCAGTCACTGTATTTGATATGTCAGTGTGAAACTACCTTGCTTTACTGTGTGGATAAGAAACGCATTACTGAACATTCACTGGATGGGTTTTAAATGTTTATGCTCTAAGTAATAACTAACATTGAATTATCAGGAATAATATGTTAGTAAAATGCTATTGGTTATTTTACCACAAGAATAAACAGTTGCTTTATTTTGGGAGGAGATTGAAAATGATTTTTACACATTGTTGGTTTAGAATTTACAAATGGCATGACATTTCAGAATAATATGCTATTGATCTATTAGTCTGTGTTTCACTTCAGAACATCTTACATGTTGTGCAATTTGAAGTACAATTGCACAAGTTTGGGCATCAAGCATTCGATGTAGTTATCAGGTGGCAAGAGTGGTTGAACGAGTAGTTGTGTCTCCTAAACAGTGAGTTAAAACAGTGACCAGTGATTTCTGGAGGACTTTTATAAGGTGCCAGACAAAATTAATTAAATTATTTGTGTAACTGGAATTTGATCGATGATTTTTCCTATGCTTAAATTTAGTGACTGTATTATACTGAAAATATAGTATTTTTTTTTTTTTTTTTTACCAGATCACATCCATATGTGGGCAATTAACGGTAATAATCAGCAGACAAATATATGATACGACTGAGTATTTTTAAATAACTAGAATGAGAATATAAAACACACTAACCAGAACTTGATTTTCTTTTTAAAATTATACGTCCTGAGAACACAGGTCCAGTCTTGTTTTCATTTTTAAGCAGGTTATAGCCATTTTGCTAGGAGCAGTAATATGCTCCACGGTGTATTTGGTGAGAGAGGTAATTACATGCCTCTGGTGGCTGAGGGCACTTGTCCTCATCTCATTCCTCACAATGCACGTGAAGTGTGTGATTCCTGCAGTATAACAACACTATTATTGCTCACATAAGTATTTTAAAATAAAAGGAAGTGAGATGCTGTTTTAATAGAAAGCAGTCCTAATACCTAACTGCGCAATAAGGCAAGGATGTCTTCCTGTGAGATTTTCCTTTTGAGGATATCATCTGGCATCAGAACGTGTGTGCAATCTGTCTTTCCTGTATTAGGCTGAAATAAAATATGCTGTATTTTAAAATTGTCCACTTAGCATGCTTTAGCAATTGTATTTTAGAAATTGTTCTGTTACATTGGCTGCTGCTTCTGAATAACTGTTAACAGCTGAGCTTTCTCATTAACTGATATTTTAGTGGCAAAGAAGGTCAACAGTTCAGTCTGTCCAGAACTTAATATATCCACACAGTCAGTAGAGCTCCTACTTCACTGAAGATCAGTGCGGTTTGTGATTTTCAGTAATACATGTAGATCTGTGGAGCAAAGGGAAAATGATCTGATTTTCATTCCAAACCCTTTAAGTAAACTTGTGTCAGTGGGTTTTTTATAAAGCAAGGAAAGGGATGAAGCTTTTCGCTTCTGGTTACAGCTTTATCGAAGCTGAAAATGGAACCATATGAATTGATTTTTTTACTATTGTCCAGGATAATTATCAGTCACAGAGACTAATAATCAATGACAATCAGCCTTAAGTCACAAAAACTGTTTCAGATGTTTGTTAAACAGTGCAACGTTGACTTAAGGTTCGGCTTTAGTTAAAGGTTCAGGATCAGGGCTGTTTTCCACTCTGTTTTTCTGAATGTGGAGTATTTGTTTGTGATTTCCATGTTATTAATTTTGAAAACAGAAGACAAAGAATACCAGGATGTTGCTGAACTTCTCATCAGCAAAAAAGCACATAATGAGAATAAGTAGCACAAAGAAAATAATCTAAAGTGTTTTTACATTTTCTTTTAAATCTTAAAATTAGGCTCCAGAGATTAGTGTATTTGGGGGCCTAGCTCTTCATGGCCATCTAGATTAATATGCCATGCTAGTTATTTTTTTAAGTAATTGTATGCAATTTTCAAATAGAGCAGTAGACCCCCAAGAAATGTTTAAAAATCACTTGTGCTGAGGGCTGACTGGCTGCAATAGTTACACTTCTCTTACTATTGATTGACCTGTTGAAGACTATGGAGTGGGGCTGGAGATTTTTGGTAGCTAGAACTAATGAACCTGTCCAGGAGAATTTGGCATCTTGGTACTTCAGGGAGGTGGGCTTCTGAGAAGGTGCTGGAGGCAAAATTGGGTACTTGTCAGAAGGACAACAGGAAAATTTGGCAACTGAAGGGTCAAGTTGAGGATACTCCTCCTTTATATTTGTATAATTTAAGAACTAGAGTCTTTTCCTTTATGGGTTGCTTACCCACTCTTCCAAAAAACTAATAAAATACAAGCAAAAGGCTAATTCTGAGTAATTTTAATCTGGTGGAATGTTTTAACATTTTCTAAGGGTCCAGAGAGAGAATATTTACTGCTTTATCTTAAATGAAATCTTAAGATTTCAAGCAACATCTTTATCCTTTTCTTGGTATACTGAAGAAATCTGATATCAATAAATTAGAAGGCTTATAGTATATGAAAGAGGAGCTGTAATACATTTTGAGCATTTTAGTGTTTGATTTTACGACTAAAATGATAACAACGCATTTGAAATTCTGTAATTGGATATATTGAATTTTTATATTTGTCATTGCAGAATGCCCATGTTACACCAATAATTATAAGTTTCTGTTTGTTTTTACAAACTTCTTTATCACCTGTAACTCTTGTTTCTGGGCTTTTTGCTAGAGTGAATGTCAAACATGTAAGATCTCACTAACAGATATCAAACACCATGCGCTCCTGCTCCTTGCAAATTTACCAGTTGGTTGTGTTATGAAATCAGGATTTAATCAATTAAGAAGGATTAGGCAAAGGGTGCAGCTTGCAGCTCTTTCTAAACATGGCTGGGTTTGCAT